CTGAACCAAACCGGCCAGGGCATGGATTTTCATTTTTATTATCATTATTTTCTGACATTCTGTTATAACTCAGTGCCATTGACCCAAACTCCCAGAGGCCTTTACGACAACCAAAGGGGTTGTCAGTTTACTCATTTACTGAAGAACATTCTTCACTAACTAATCCCTAAGTAATCGCTAACCCTGGGGTAATAACTAACCCTTGAGTAATCCTGGGGTCGGCGCCAGGGATAATCTATTGAAAACATCTTGACCTTTGAGATGTCTGGGAAACTGAGTAACAGGTAATTAACTAACTGCTAAATTCCGCTTCTGTAACATGCTTGCTTACACGTAGCAACCCCCCTTACAAAATCCTATAAAAAGGAGCCATTTTAGCTCTCCGAGGCCGCAGTTACTCCTGTGTGGGACACACTGCAGGCTTGCAGACTTAGCTCAATAAACTCCTTTTGTTAAACCCCATCTCGGCGTCTGAGTTTGGTCGATCTCCTGGGTTACAACAATTCTGGTTTGCTTTTGTAACCCCTTTTACTTTTAACAACTCTTACAGCATAGCTTCTCATCTTGCTTAGGTCATGCTCCTGTTGGTGATTTGGCCACATCCTTTATTCTTGAATTTTGAGGGATTTCATGTCATCAACTTTTGCTAAAGATGCTATCAGGGTGGGTTTTTTGTTTGTTTGTTTGTTTGTTTGTTTTCCTGTGGGGTTTTTTGTTTTGTTCTCTATCTTGTTAGTCTGTTTGGTTTTCAGTAAGAGTTTTAAAGTGATTATTCAAAATTGCTATTATGATCCTAAATCTAGAATATCTCCCAACAAATCATTCAGTAAGATAATCAGTTCATTGCAGATATTTTTAAAAGAGATTAAAGGTTATTGTCACAGAGCATTCTAACAATCCCTGAAGTTTGGGTGCCTTTATAAGGGTCCTTCATTAGAAATAACCTATACAAGCATAGTTTTGTTCTGTTCTGTTTTGCAACTAGAGGAGAAGAAACTCATCTCCCCATCTTGTGATTTATTTTATTTCCTTCACCAGCACTCTGAACAGCCCACAGTTTCAAAGCCAAGCCAGGGATTCCATTAGCACTGAGAAAAGCAGGCCCGAGAAGCTCAAAACTTATAATATGAAAAGTAAAGGGTAGAATAAGTATTTTAGCAAATGAAATCTGGGGCATATACCACTCCAATTATATCTTCAGCAAAGCCCACAGTTTTTGAAAGGGAAATGCAGAGTCCTGGTGAAGGAGATTCCCACTCAGACCCTCACATGAGTAAGATCTACAATTAATCATTGAGTACTATCCAGGCCAAATTTTCTGCATGTCTTTAAACAGATGTGATCTTTGGAGGGTCATAAATTAAAATCTATATAAGTGAAACATACGGATAAAAACAGGGTAAAGAAAAGATAAAGCAGATACAGATTCCCTCTATATGTCCTTTTATTTCTTCTAGAGTAGGTTGGAAAATTAAAGATGTGATTTTTCATAAAGTTATAACAGAACAGGACATTAGAATTTTTTCCTGTTGTAAAGTGTTAAATGGCTAAAGTTGAAAACAGTGGCTCCATAGTCCAGAGAGGAACCAGGCACAAAGCAGAATGTGCTATGAGGCAGACCCCAAACAACTCCTGGTACCCCAAAACTATCCTCCACCTGCAGAGATTAGAAATTCAATGCGGGGTTGGGGGGTTGGAAGATGGATGATTTGTAACCTTGTGTTATTGCATTCTTGCTAGCTGGCCAGACCAGGTGCAACTGACTGCTTCATTTGCATGTGAATAAGATAAGGTTTGCACGGGCGGGCTAATGGGTCCTAGGACTCAAGAATGTCTGTGTTTGTTATCTTAGTTTCAAAGTCTCTTTCCACCATAAAAAGCAAGAGACAAAACTAGGCTATATAGTTTATAGAGATGCCATCTCAAGGAAGTATTTTACATAAATCCACTTGTAACCTGGGGGTACCAATCTGCAAATAAATGGAACTGCATCCAAAGATCTGGAGCATTTGCTGCCTTGCAAAGCTCCCTCTCACTCCAAGCAGGCTGTGCTTGTAGTTTCATTCATTGCATTGCATCGATCCCAGCAGGCTGAGATGGCACTTCAAAGAGTGGGAGGGACTTGGTGAGTATTATTTTAAAGAGCAGTATCAGAGTCTTGTACATTTCCCTTTTCTCCTCCAAAGAATTTCTGCCTCCCCCACATAGCCAGGTGCTACAGGGAGCTACTGAGAAAAACATGGAGGCCCAAGATGGAACCCCTCCTGTACAGCAAACCCAACTTTCTTGTTCCTTTAAATGCTCCGCCTTCCCAGAAAAGCAGTCAGCCAAACATCAAGCCAACTATGGACTCTATACTTAGACCTTGTTCCTTCTCATCCCCAACAAGGCTGACTGTGTGACCTAGCCAGTCAGATATCTATATATAATATTTTTTTCTTTATTGATTTTAGAGAGATAGAAACATTGATGAGAAAGAACATCAACTGGCCACCTCCTGCATGCCCCCTACTGGGGATTGGGCCCACAATGTGGGCATGTGCCCTGACCAGAAATCAAACCAGCGACCTCTTGGTGCATCATGGGTCAACGCTCAATCACTGAGCCACACTGGCTGGGCAAGTCAATCAGATATTTTTTTAGTTTTCCTTGTTCTTTATTCTTTCTTTATCCCATAAAAGCTTCCTGCCTTTTGCCCCATTTTATAGTTCTCTGAATACAGACTATCTGCTTCATGAAGCATTCAAGTTTGTGTCATCTAAATAGTCTTCTTTAATATTTTTCAACCTATTTAAAACAGAACATTTAAGAAGTCTTACTAAGCTTGACCTGTGGTTCCCAAGTTCAGGGGTTGCATATGCTAGGATCTGTGCCTTACTCTCTCGTGTAAAGAAAAGATGCTGGCTAGTGGTTGGAGCCGCTTGGAATAACAGAGAAGAGGGAGAGGACTCTGTTGGGAGTATACTGCACATCCAGAATTTGAAGGGGCAAAACAGCCAAGTTTCCTGTAGGCTAAAGACCAATGCTGGACGAGTAGTCTTTAAAAAACTTTGCCCAGGAGAACAGAGGGTGGCTGTGTAGAGTGTACCATGAAAGCAGGAGCTAAACCCTCATCTGGAGAACACTTTGTCTTCATGTGCAAATGTGGAGAGGGTAAATTGAAGAAGTCTCCCACTAACTCAACCTATCTCTCATCCTTCTTTACTATCAAAACTCTGGCAACAGCAGGTGGGAAAGTTGAGCAAGAGAGTGAAAACAGAGAACAAATCGAGCCTTATTCTTTAATGCCTGTCCGGTCCAAGCTAGGAAGGGGGGAAGCTTTAAATTGAGATCAGATTGAACTTGTTAACATTCTAAAATTTGTCACAAGTTAGAAACAGGAAAGTCTAATAATTGGTAAAGTAACATGGTTGAGCATCTTAAAACCTATATCCATTACAAATGTTTTTTCCTTAGAATTATTTTAATGTAGCATTATTTACACAAATTCAACTAAATATTGAAGCTATAAAAGTACCCAGTAAAAATTGACAATAAATATACACACTGAAAAATGGTTTATCTTTATCCTTCCAGATTTTGTATTAGATCATTTCTTTCCCTCTATTTTTCCTTCTATAGATATTAGATGATTACATTGTGTTAATATGCATGCTAGAGACTAAAAATATAAAGATGAATAAGACATGGTCCTTCCTCTGATGGAGCTAATATTTAGTAGTAGACAGTAAATAGACCAACATTTAAAATTCATGACCCTGGCCAGGTAGCTCAGTTGGTTAGAGCATCATCCCAATATGCCAAGGTTGTGGGTTCAATCTCCAGTCAGGGCACATACAAGAAGCAACTAATGAATGCATAAATGAGTGGAGCAACAAACTGATGTTTCTCTGTCTCTCCCTCTCTCTCTCTCCCCCTTCCTATCTCTCTCCAAAATCAATTAAAAAAAGAAATTTTCTATTAAAAAAAAATCAGTATAGCCCTGGCCAGTGTGGCTCAGCGGTTAGAGCATCAGCCCGTAAACCAGAGAGTCCTGGGTTCCGTTCCTGCTAAGGGCACATACCTCGGTTGCAGTTTGTCCCCAGCCTTGGTTGGGGTTGTGTGGGTGGCAACCACTCGATGTGTCTCTCTCACATCAATGTTTCTCTCTCTCTCTTCCTCCTTCTCTCCCTCCCCCTCTATCTGAAGATAAATGCAAAAATGTCCTCGGGTGAGGATAAAAAAAATAAAATAAAATAAAAATAAAGCAACAGAGTATAGCATATGTAGTCACTATGCTATGCTTCACAATTTAAAATTACAATTAAATAAATTTTAGTTTGATCATTAGTACCTCCAAAAAAATCATGTCATGAACTCTTATTTGTTTCCGAAACTTAATTTCTCTTCTTAATAAAACTACAACTGATATTTCCTATTGCAGTTAAGGAACAATGTTTAGATTGAAAACAAAAGTTATTTAAAAATTATCATTGTGGTTGCAGCCTAAAAGTCCTAGAAACCCATATACAAATGCTTAAGAGTGACAGAGATCCTGTAGAGGAAATGAGGTAAAATTACTTAAAAACCTAGTCATTTTGTTTCTGAGTTACTGAATCAATACATTTCATTCAGTATAAAACCGAAGAAGACAACTTTTCACTACATGCTTTGGCACAAATAATTCAAAATCATAGATAATCAAACAATTTTTATTTGGGTTTTGAATATTTTCATACATAGAGTGAAATACATCTAATATTCTGTAAATCTGTAAACTTCAAACAAAATAAAGCACAGTGAAAAATGGGAAAGTTATCAAACTTTCTAAATGTAATGCCAAGGACATAAAAATGCTCCCCTACGTTTTTTGCCTAGAAATAAACTCCAAACTCTAACATGGCATTTGAGACTCTAAATCAGTGTTTCTCAACCTTCCTAATGCCTCGACCCTTTAATACAGTTCCTCATGTTGTGGTGACCCCCAACCATAAAGTTATTTTTGTTGCTACTTCATCACTGTAATTTTGCTACTATTATGTCTTAGGTGACCCCTGTGAAAGGGTCGTTCGAGCCCCAAAGGGGTTGCAACCCACAGGTTGAGAACCGCTGCTCTAACTAATCTGTTTCCAAATTATTTATCCAGTAGCTCCTGTCCGCACCATTCTTTCACTAGAACATATTATAAACTTTCAGTTTCATGTCCTAGTTCATGGTGTTCCCTCAATCTATTGTGGTTATTTTTGTCAAAAGCCTGTACATCTTTCAGGCCCATGTGATCTGTCATTTCCTCTGCAATATCTTTTCTATCCTGCCTTCTCGATAGCATTAATCCTTGCTTCTGTACTCTTCTACTGCTATTAATATTAAATTTAAGTGTTAGAAGTGCTTCTCTCTTCTACTGCATCACACTCACAGGGAAAAAGTCTTACTCATTTTTATTTCACCCAAGCTCCACACAATGACTGATAGAGAGTACCTAATAAATACTGAATTGATGGACCTAGTCTTGATTTATGTAACAAAGAAATAACAAACTTGAAGAATAATGCTCACCTATATAAAATGTATAAGCCACGTCCCACTGGTTTTTCTTTTTGTCAGTTATTGTTAGAATCACAAAGAAAATTATTTGGCTTTGGATAATAGCGAAAATTTACCCTAAACATGAATTGTCCAATGTAATCTTTTCGGTATCAAGTAAATCAAACAAATTTCTCTCTTGCAGTCAGTCAGCTGGGAAGGAGGCAGGAAACAATTACACAAAAATCCAGTCAAGTGTCTGTAAAAATAAATAGAAATCAAATATGAGATCCTTACTAATGCTATTAGAATATAAAAGAAAGAACCATTTAGTCTGTTAAACTCTTTTGTATGTTAAAAGGTTAAAGACATTTTGAAGACTTAAAACTTAGGGAAAACTAGATATATGCTAAAAGGTCCGTGTTAAATCACTGTCATGAAGTATTTTTGTATAACTCTAGAAAAATCTCTAATAAATGATAATTTAATGAAATTGCACTCAATATTGCTCCATGACTGTGAATCAGGTGTAAGCAAACTGTAGTTTGTGGACCAAACCAGGTTACCTCACCTGTTTTTGTAAATAAAGTTATTAAAACACAGCCATATCCATTTGTTTCTGTATTGTTTCTCTCTACTTTTGTTCTGCAAAGTTGAGTAGTTAAAACAGAGATTGTATGTCTCACAAAGCCTAACATATTTACTATCTGGCCCTTTAAAGAAAATTGGCCAATTCCTGCTGTCGATAAACAGATGGAAAAAATCTAGTTGAAAACTAAGCCAGTTTGAGTATGTGTGATTTCTTACTATTCTAGAATTTAGAATATATGCCAAGATTTCTTCTCAACACCAAAAAACTTTTTTTAAAAGAAAGTATAAGGATATTATGACCCAGCAATCCCTCTTCTGGGTATTTATCCAAAAAACTTGAAAATACTTATATGTAAATATATATGTACCCCTGTGTGCATTGCAGCACTATTCTCAATAGCGAAGATATGGAAATAACCTAAGTATCTTTCGACCATGTATTAGATAAAAATGTGGAGGTACATATAGTGCCCTGGCTGGTCTTGCTCAGTGGTTAGATCATCAGCCCATGGACCAAAGAGCTGCAGGTTTGATTCTGGTCAAGGGCATGTACCTCTGTTGGGTTTGGTCCCTGGCCCTGGTCAGGGTTGTATGGGAAGCAACGAGTCAATGTGTCTTTCTCACGTCAATGTCACTCTCTCTCTCTCCCTCCCTTCCTTCCACTCTATCTAAAAAATTAATGGAAAAATATCCTTGGGTGAGGATTTAAAAAAAAAGGATGTGGTACACATATATACAATGGAATACTTTTCAGCCAAAGAAGAGATGAAATACTACCATTTGCAACAACATGGATGGATCTTGGGAGTATCATGCTAAGTGAAATGTCAGACAGAAAAAGATAAGAACTATATGGTTTTAGTAATATGTGGGATATAAAACAAAAAGCAACAAGTAAACAAATGAACTCACAAACACACAAAACAGTATAGTGGTTACAAAAGAGGAAGAGAGGTGGGGGGAGGATGAAGCGGGTAAAGGGTATCAAATACATGGTGACAGAAGGAAACTAGATTTTGGGTGGTGAGCACACAATGGAATGTGCATTCCATGTATTTATTATAAAGTTGTATACCTGAAACCTATACAACATTATTAACCAATATTGCCCCAACAAATTTAATTTTTTAAAAAGGGAAATTATAATAGGAAATGTACAGATGTTGACTACACAGGACAGGTAAAGGACATACATACAGAATAATTTTTAAAGAACAAGTTATTTTATTTTGATACCTTTAGCATAATGAAAAATATGTCTGCCTGATTATTCTTCATTAACTAGGAAAAACAGTGGCTGTTCTTTATTTTAGAGTATATCACTGAAAATTAACTTTTCTACCACTATTGCTTCACTAAAAAGTAGAAACTTAATTCTTCCTATAGGAATAAAGAAGTAAAGTTAAATATAATTAATTATTTTTTAAAATGAGAGGAGAGAAAGGTAGAAAGAAGGAGAGAGGGGAGAGGAAAAGTGGGGGTAGAAGGGAAAGAATTGACTGTACCTCATTCTCTAATTGATATGAAGCCAATCTGTGTACCAAAATTAAAGCCATCTCGGACATGGGAGAAGAACTTGTCAGGATGGCAGGATGTACAGAGGTTCAGACCTTGCTCTTGGTCCCGAATATTCTGTTGCAGAATTCCTCCCTGTTCTAGAAGAATCCTTAGGATAAAGATTTTTCAAAAGATAGCAAGTTTATTTTGTCAATAGGTAAAGCAATATGAAATAAGTATAGATACTGGTGTAAAGGAATTCTGGGAAAGATATGCTTGGAACAGTGCTAACTGTTACTCAGTTATAGAACATGGACTAGAAAGGAAATGGTAGATTTTATCACCATTTGTCACCTAGGTTCATATATGAACTATACAATCTTTCATATTATCCTGCAGACATGATCTGGGTATAAAACTTTGTAATAAAAATCAAGTACTATTTTAGAAGAAACTTTAAAGTACCAAGGCATTTGTAGACAAAATTCATTTGACCCCAACAGGGCATGCTTTTCAGTCATTTACCACCCCCACCTCCTTTCTTCTATTACCAATTTTTTCACAGAAAATTTGCTTCTCCATAAGACTTTATGATATGAAATATGACTATAAATTAGTGATACTTATTCCACAAGTAACATTTAAGAATCAATTTCAATTCTTTCTGCTTATGTTCTAAGTAAGGCAGAACCTAGGCAAAGTGTTGCTGAATGGAATAGAAACATGATTCAAATCAGACATCAATTTCCCTTTGCAGAAAGGACAAATAATTTTTAACAGCAATTAATAGCAAAACTTCATAAATTCAAAAATGCAAGAGATCATTAAAAACTTGAAAGTGACTGTGTTTATAGTATCTATATTTTTGCTAAGAAATATATTCCTCTAGTTAGAGAATACAAATAATTTTAAAATATCAGCTTCCTGATAGTTTTATTATATTTAGGAGAATTTAGCTGAGGAATGGCTATGAAGTAAAGTACATGCCAACTTTTCTATATAAAACTTAACCTTCACTTTTAAATCAATAAGGGATACCGGCCAGGAAAACTTCTGTTATTTAAACTTAGGTGAGAAAAGATTTCATATTTAAAATGAGTTTCTGTGTACATGCAAATGTCAGCTATTTAAATATCTGCCACCTGAATTTTTCTCGGAGTTACTAATTGTTCTCTAAATGAATTTTCATTTTAGAAGCAATAAGCAATAACTAAACTTGCAGTTCTGGAATGAAATCAAATGTACCTGGTGGCTTTACGAATGTCAACATAGGGATTTGATGAGTCAAATAGCCGCACACATTCAGGATCAAGATTATGAAATTCCTTTGCTGATTCCCTTGGAAGAGTAAAACAGCAAGGTCCTACTGAAGGTCCCAGTACAACAATAATATCTTCCAAACTACAGCCATATTCTGCTATCATAGCGTTCACGGTAGCCATAGCAACACCTAACAAAGTACCTCTCCAACCTGGTAAATAGAAAGAAAAAGAGATAAGGACAGTAAAACATAAGAAAATTTCACCTTAATTTTTATCTAAGTTAAAAATAAGCACAATTTATGTTATTTTTAAGTCCAGAAACAGTAAATGAATCACAAAATTAATTAAGCTAAATAAGCAACTAACTAAATAAAACACAGTTTTTAAATGAGGTACACTATACATCATAGCCCCTGACACAGAAGTGACATTTAATGGGGGAAGGGTATCCCTTCCACTTCCTTTTATTAATTGTTTTTTTTAGGGAAAGAGAGATAGAAACATTGATCCACTGCCTCCGGCAGGCCCTCCACTGGGGACTGAACCTGAAACCCGGGCATGTGCCCTGACCCAAAATCCAACTGGGAGCTCTCAGTCCACGGGAGTACACTCAATGAACTGAGCCAAACTGGCTGGGCCCTTCCACTTTCTTTTAAAATGTCCCATAGCCCTGGCCGGTTTGCTCAGCGGTTAGAGCGTTGGCCCGCAGTCCAGAGAGACCCTAGTTGGGTTCCCGCTAAGGGCACTGTACCTTGGTTGCAGTTTGTCCCAGGTCCCGGTTGGGGTCGTGTCAGTGGCAGAGAGTTGATGTGTCTCTCTCACATCAATGTTTCTCTCTCTTTTCCTCCTTTTCCCCCTCTCCCTCTATGAAGATGAATGCAAAAATGTCCTCAGGTAAGGATAAAAAAATTAAAATAAATTAATTAATTAAAATGTCCTATACTTTTGCCTGGCCGGTATGGCTCAGTAGTTGAGCATTGACCCATGCACCAAGAAGTTGCTGGTTCGATTCCCAGTCAGGGCACATGCCCAGGTTGTGGGCCAAATCCCCAGTGAGGGGCATGCAGGAGGCGGCCAATAGATGTTCTCTCTCATCAAAGGTTCTGTCTCTCTCCGTCTCCCTTCCTTGCTCTCTAAAATCAACAAAGACAAAAAAAATTTTTTTAATAAAAAACAAAAACATCCTATACTGCTAGTTTCCACTGGCATTATGCCTTCTTAGTCTTCTCCCTCTCTCTCTCCCTCCCTCACTTTTTTCCACATTTTTTAAAACTGTGAAAAATAACAAAATTTACCTTTTCTTTACCATTTTATTTTTTTAAACTTATCTTTATTGTTGAATATATTACAGATGTTCCTCCTTTTCCCCCTATTGATCCCCTCCTCCCTACTCCTCCCCACCTCCTGCCTTTCCCCACATGTTGTCTGTGTTCATTGGTTATGTATATATGCATATAAGTTCTTTAGTTTATTTATTCCCACCCCCCTGCCCCCCTTCCCTTTGAGGTTTGTCAATCTAACAACCAATTTGTACTTCTTTTTTTTTTTTCTTCTTTTTTAAATTTTATTTATTTATTTATTTTATTTTATTTTCAAATCTTTATTGTTGGATGTAAAATGTATTACAGATGTTCCACATTTTTCCCCCATTGACCCCCTCCTCCCCACTCCCGCCCCCTCCCACCTTTTCCCACACTATTGTCTGTGTCCATTGGTTATGCATATAAGTTCTTTGGTTTATTTCTTCCCACCACCACCCCAACCCCTTTCCCTTTGAGGTTTGTCAGTCTAGCAATGAATTTGTACTTCTTAATCCCTTCACCTTTTTCACTCATTCCCCCCAACCTCCCTCCCATCTGGCAACCAACAAAATGTTCTCTGTGTCTGAGAATGTTTCTGTTCTGCTTCCTCATTTTGTTTGTATATTCAATTGTCGACAGCTCTGAATTCATTGCCATCATATTTTTGATCTTTTTCTTCAAGAAGACTGTTCAACATTTCATATAATAATGGTTTGGTGGTGATGAATTCCTTTAGCTTTTTCTTGTCTGGGAAACTCTTCATATGTCCATCGATTCTAAATGACAGCTTTGCAAGATAGAGTAATCTTGGTTGTAGGTTCTTGCTTTTCATCACTCTGAATATTTCTTGCCACTCCCTTCTGACCTGCAAAGTTTCTTTTGAGAAATCAGCTGACAGTCTTATGGGAACTCCCTTGTAGGTAAGTAACTGCTTTTCTCTTGCTGCTTTTAAGATTCTCTGTCTTGAACCTTTTGCATTTTGATGATGATGTGTCTTGGTGTGGGCCTCTTGACGTTCATCTTGTTTGGGACTCTCTGTGCTTGCTGGACTTGTATGTCTGTTTCCTTCACCAAGTTAGGGAAGTTTTCTGTCATTATTGTTTCAAACAGGTTTTTGATTTCTTGTTCTCTCTCTTCTCTTTCTGGCACCCCCAAGATGCGAATATTGGTACACTTGAAGTTGTCCCAGAGGCTCCTTACACTATCCTCATTTTTTTGGATTCCTTTTTGTTTTTGCTGTTCTGATTGGGTGGGTTTTTTTTACCATTTTAACCATTTTAAAGTGTTAAGTATATTTACATTGTTGCGCAACAAGTCTCCACAACTTTTTCATCTTGCAAAACTAAAATTCTACACAATTTTTTTTTTTTATCCTCACCCGAGGACATTTTCCTATTTTTTGTTCAAATAGAGTGGGAGGGAAAGAGAGTAAGAGAGAGAAAGAAACATCGACGAGAAAGGGACACATCAAGTGGCTGCCTCCCGCACAACCCAACCAGGGCCGGGGACAAACTGCAACCAAGGTACATGCCCTTCGCGGAAACCGAACCCGTGTCTCTCTGGACCGCAGGCCGACACTCTAACCGCTGAGCCAAACCGGCCAGGGCAGCTACACAATTTTTAAACATTAAAGTTTTAAACATTAAATCTCCCTTCCCATCTTTCCCCTGGTCCCTGGCAACCACCATTCTACTTTCTGCCTCTATGAATAGACTACTCCAGGTACCTCATATAAATGGAATCATACACTATTTTTCTTTGAGTGACTGGCTTATTTCACTTAGCATAATGTCCTCAAGGTTCATTCATGTTGTAGCATGTGTGAGGATTTCCTTCTTTTTTAAGGCCACATAATATTCATATATATACACACACACACACACACACACATTACTTATCCATTAATCCATCAATGAACACGTAAACTGCTTCAACATCTTGGCATTGTAAACAATGCTACTATTAGCATGGGTGTGCAAAAATCTTATTAAGATCCTCTTTTCAGTTACCTTGGATACATGCTCAGAAGAGGAATTGCTGGATAATATGGTAATTCTATTTTTAAATTTTTGAAGAAACACCATACCATTTTCCATAGCAGCAACACCATTTTACATTCCCATCAGGGTTCCAATTTCTCCACATCCTCACCAGAACTCCCCTCCCTTTCCCTTCCCCTTCCCCTTCCCCTTCCTTTTCTTTCTTTAACATTAGCCACCTTGATAGGTGTGAGGTGGTATCTCATTGTGGTTCTGATTTGTATTTCCCAATTATTAATGATCTATGCATCTTTTCACATGCTTGTTAATCATTTGTATATTGTCTTTGGAGAAATGTCTATTCAAGTAATTTGCCTATTTTTTAAACAGGTTATTTGTTTTTTGTTGTTGTTAAGTTTAGACGGTTCTTTTTTCTTTGAAATCCTCACCCGAGGATATTTTTTCCATTTATTGTAGAAGTGGGGGTTCGGGGAGAAAGAGAGAGAGAAGCATCGATGTGAGAGACATATCGATTGGTTGCTTCCCACATGACCTCGGCCAGGGCCAGGGACTACACGCCCTGGACAGCAATAGAACCAACAACTCTTTGGTCCCAGGGCCAACACTCTAACCACTAAGCCAAACCAGCCAGGGCTAGGAGTTTCTTTATATATTCTGTATATTAACTCCTTGTTGGATATATGAATTGCAAATATTTTCTCCCATTCCACGAGCTGTCTTTTCACTTTGTTGATTATGCCCTTTGATGCAGAGAAGCTTTTAATTTTGATTCAGAGAAGTTTTTTTTATATTAATTGGATTTAGTGATCCAATTTATTTTTAATTTTGTTGCTTGTGCTTTGTCACATTTAAAAACCCATTGCCTAATCCAAAATCATAAGAATTTACACTGTTTTCTTCCTCCAGTTTTATATCTTTAACTGTACATTTACTTCTTTGATCCATTTTAAGTTACTTTTTATATATAAGATAATGGTCCACCATCCATTTTTTTTGCATGTCAATATCCAGTTTTCCCAGCATCATTTGTTAAAGAGATTGTCCTTTCCCCATTGTAGAGTCTAGGTACCTGGTCAATAATCATTTGTCCATATATAGAAGGGCTCTCTATTCTATTCTATTGGTCTATCTATATGTCTTTATGCCAGTACTATACTGCTTTAATTAGTGTATCTTTATAATAAGTTTACACATCAGGAAGTGTGAGACCTCTAACTTTGTTCTTTTTCAATAGTTACATTTTGACAGCTTTATCTTTGTTATTTTAAAACTTTATGTTTTAAAACCTAAGAAGTAACAAATAACATTCCCTTTTTATATCCAGAACTAAGATTCAAATTTTAAATAACTTTGGCAATGTCAAATAGCAATCCTGACTTCTAGTCATCCAATTCCCTTACTTTAGTCACTTTCTTATGTAGCTATGGCCTTAAAGCAGGCATAGATTTACAAGCAGAAGGAAAGCCAAAAGATCATCCCTCATTTCACATAGATACATAACCACTAGATAATCTAAACTAGTATTTTAAAACACCTCTAGAAAACAAAATTCCATAACCTTAACACACAATCTAAACAACCTTCTTTGTTCTTAGTATATTAAACTAAATGTAATTTTCTAAATATTTCTCGCTTTTTCTTACCTCCTTACCTTTACACATGCTGCTGCATCTTAATGAAGGCCTTTAAGCAACATGCCTAACCTTCCTATTCCTCACTGCCTAGACTTCAAGGCTTCTCAGTGGCAGTACCACACCTGGGGAGTGTTTGAAAAGAATGAAGAGTTTCGTTGTTGCTGTTTTTTAATTACAACAACTGGGAATTCTGAAAGCCACGTAAACTGTCTGTAATGTAAGATTTTCTTGCCCAGACAGTTACTAGCACTCTTCCTGAGAAACAATGGCACCTAGCCAAACCTTATAAATTCCTTAAGAATTAGCCTAGGTACCATTTGGGGGGGGGGGGGGGATTCCACTCTGATTCATATCATTTGACTTAGTTACTCCTTTTATTTGCTTTTATAATAGGAGTATGCTGAACCTACCCCTATCTTTACACTTATCACCATATAAACCTGTTTGTCTATCTTGAAGTTATAATTTTTCCCGTGCCACAAAATGGTAAAATCCTACATGCTTAATTAAGCTTACTTACCAGCATGAGCAACCCCACATGCTATTTTGACAGGATCTGCAAAAATTATCGGTATACAGTCAGCACCAAGAGCTGCTATCGTGACTCCTCTCTGATTTGTGGTGATTCCGTCATAAGATTCAGGCTCCTTCCTTCCCATAACCCAGACGTCACTGGCATGATCAGTCTAATACCAAAGATGTACAATAAATGTTTTGAAAGTAGGATTTCTCATACCATAAATTTTTCTGAAAATATTCATTTTGTACAAAATTATAAAACCAGTTTAAGATTACCAGCACTCATTAAATATATTACTTCTATATATGGTAAAATACCAAATTTACTTATTGTTTAACTTTTGGTATAATCTCTGCATATTTTATTCAAAGGAAAGCAGACTTTAACATTTAAAAATTCAATACTTGCTCATGAAGAACACCTCCTATAGAGATGAGTAAGTCTCTATGTGCAGTACTTTCCACAGTTAATTAATTCATTGAAAGAAATGAATTACCAAGTCAATATTTTTATTTTTCTTAGACTCAATTAAAGCTAGAATTTTGTAACAAACAAAGCACTATCTCATCAATTGTACCCTAAGTTCCTCCTGGTGTTAACTTAGAAGATGATGGCCTTCTTTTCCACAGCTCAGGAACCTTCCTTCTAAATCAAAAAGGGCAGTGGTACCATACTCTATGATAGTTAACTGCACCTTTAGATGTGAGGAGCTCCAGGTAAATATATGGATTATAGGCTATGGTGTGCAGATCAAAAAAACAAAACACTATAAGCATTATCCTAAAGTTTTAGATAAAAGCAAATGTAAAAGTTAAATAGCTTGATTAAGGTCCATTAATCATTAACAGAGTCATAATATACTTCAAATATACTTTAGATCTTCCAAAATATGAAATATAATTTTACCTTTATTCGGTAAAATTTCTTCACATTAAATCCTGCAGCACTCCCCAGCCTACGCAGATTTTCTTGAACAACTACCTTGGGATCTCTCCGTTTGGAACTACTGAAGAGGTTGAATGAACTGAGAGTTGGTATGTAAGATATCCCACCTGTTCTTGTAGTAAATCCATGTATGAAAATATCTGCTGAAGATAAGTAGTGAAGATAAAAAATATACTATACAAAAAACTATAAAAAGCATTACAAACCCTCTCTTGGTAAGACTTTCCCTGATCATTTCAACCTGCATTTGTTTACCTGGCACCTAATTTATACAGCACTTTGTACCTCCATGTGTTCTTATTATACACTGCTTTGTCTTTGTTTTACGTTTCCTACGGAGTTACTGTTCTACAAAGGGTATCTTCTGTCCCATTTGTCTTTGTTATTTCCAATAGCATATAGTTCACAGTAAATATTATTTAACCAACAAGATTGACTATTAAATTTCATTCTTCTGTAATAATGCCAATGAGTTAAGGTTTCAAAATTGCTCAATGGGAGATGCTTAGGATTATAAATATCATTTTAAAGGAAGCCAGGGGCCCTGGCCGGTTTGCTAAGTGGTTAGAGCACTGGCCTATGGACCAAAGGATCTCGGGTTCAATTCCCAGTCAAGGGCATGCACCTGGGTTGCAGGTTCAATCCTCAGCCCTGGTTGGAGTCATGTGGAAGGCAGCCAATTGATGTGTCTCTCTCATACTGATGTCTCTCTCTCCCTCCCTTCTGCTCTAAGAATTAATGGGAAAATATCCTTGGGTGAGGATTAACAAAAAAACAAAGGAAGCCTGGGGAGTTGTCTTAAAGCTGAATTTGCATAAAGCAAATTTACTTATGTAGAGGACTGACTATCCCTTGATATCCTTTGACATCCCTAACACTACCAGACCATCCATGACATTCCCATGTTGCAACTGATGCTAATGAGTACATGAGCCCACACAATCTAGAAAAGAAAGAAGGAAAACAAGAAGTGAAAAACTCTGGGTCTACCCAGAGACATGGAAGTAGGGATCAGACTGACAAATCTTATAGGAAGGGGGTGGGGGGCAGGAAGAGATAAACCCAAGAATTTATATGCATATATGCATAACCAATAGACATAGATAACAATACTGTAAAGGGTGGGGAGACGGGAACAGGGAGGAGGGTGTCAAAGGGGGAAAAAGGAGAAATATCTGTAACAAAAATAAATTAATAAAAAAGATGTGAACAACTTCTAAAGAACAACTGGTTTTTCACATGCATGCTGACAACAAGATAGTGTGAAATATACCTGAGATCAAAGGAGATGTGATAATGGTTAATTCTCCTTTCAGTGCAGGCAGACTTCTCAAATATGTTTCTATTTCATTCTGTACAGCTTCTAGTTCTTGAGTTGTGATCACGTTTATTTCAGTGGACTGCTTCAAAAGACCTCCCTTCACAGTTACCTGTAAATCTTCATACTCAAAATTGTAAACATCAGTGAAGAGTTGATCAATAAAAGCCTTCATTAAGGGCTTCCTGTACATGGGTACAATTACCTTAATGCTGCTTAAATTTTTTTCATCAATTTTTTGTTTAATGGTATACAAAGAGGCAGCCATGCTAGGATTGCTAACAGTCTCAAATTCTCTCAAGATTGCTGATAATCCATTGCTTGTTTCTAATTCATAAGTATCATGGTCACAGCTCCTTTCACAGCTGATGGTACTGCAACCCATTATGCAAAGGAACTTGGCCTTGGCAGCATGATGGTATTGAACAGCATTCAATGTCTTCAGTAATGTCTGGTAATAGTTTTTCTGAGAGTTCAATGTCGAGCCAAAGAGATCAATTAACACTGCTTCTGCCATTATTCAATAACTTTACAAAGCTCTTCAAAGGCTTTTGTGACCCCTCCCCAAAAAAATCACCTGTAAAGAAATATTAGCGTAAATAAGAATCCAATATTAGATCAACCTTTCTACAGTTACAACAGAAATTTGTGGCTGGGGGAAAAAAAAGAATTGCATTGATCTAAAAATGTAACTCTAGACCCCTCCCAGAAATGCTAGTTCACTGTCATAAGAGAATCAAGACAATTAAAGCAAAGCCATCTGTTAATTCATTTTCTGAAAGTATATGTACATCTTCCCAGCAAAACAATAGTTCCTCTGTTTTTGTTTTTTGTTCTCATAGAGAGAATTTTAAGTAGGTAATTACCTGTTGACTCAAAGTTCTGTATTTTAATCACATGGTATCAATTTATGTGATATATCATTAAAGCTGACACGACGGGCATGTTAGGTCACAGCCCTTCCTAAGAAATGCAGGAGCCTGAAATTCAGCAGGTTACGGAGCTGCACTTGAACACCGCGTTTTTAAGAAGAAAGGCGGAGTCACGTTCCTCTGCAGGATTTACACGGTACTCCAGGTAGGGCCACGACCACGGCGCGACTGCGACCTGGAGACGTGCTGCCAGCTGCTTTCCTCCTCCCGTCGCGGGAGTCCTCACCTCGGCCCCGCCGCCGCCGCCGGCCGGTCTGGCGACCCGCTTCCGGGACCCCAGGCTTTCTCCGGCCGCCCCTGCTCACCCCACTCCCTACCGTGCAGGAGTCCCGCTCAGCTTCCTCTCGCCAGTTTTGGAAAACATCAAGAGAAGTAATGGGGTCACCGTGAAGTTCCACAAAACGCGTCTGTCACCGCCGAGTCCCGCGCAGGGCTCAGCCGGGCGCCGGTCTCCACCTGCCCGGGCACCTCCCACGACTGCACCCCGCCTCTTAAGGACGTTCTGACAGCACGCACCCCCCGGGCAGCACCCCGGTCCTCGCCTTCGAGCACCGTCCTTGGCTCGGGTACCCCGTCTGCGCCGGCTGTTAGGATTCGCCCCCGCTGCGCCCCATCCCACCCCATCCCCGAGCCCCACAGAAACCCGGAAGCCGCGAGCCGGACACCTGGAGTGCCAGGCCCCGCCCCTCGGGCCGCCCACCGCCCCGCCCACCGCCTCGCCCCGCCCACCTCGCCGCCGACCGCCTGATTCCCCGGCGTGCGCTCGGCCTGCCCGGGGCCCTGGAGTCTGCTGACTGCCAGGAGGGGAGGCCCGTGGGCGGGGGATCCCGGAGGCGCCGCCCGCGGTCGCCTCAGCAGTTCCGAGTTAGGGCGGCCTGGCGACCCCGCGACCCCGCGACGGGAAGAGGAACAGGAACCAGAGCGCCGAAGGGCCCACGCGCCGGAGCCAGGCGGTCAGCGGGCGGGAGGCCGGGCCGGGCGGTGCCCGAGGGGCGCGGGCGGCGGCGGGACCCCGGCACACGGCGCTGACTGCCGCAGCCGCCCCGCGCCCGCCCTTCTGTCCAGTGAGCCGGCACCGCCTGAGCACGTGGCAGTGCGTTTTGTCCAAGCGTCAAGTCAAGGGCCCCCTCGGGCAGGTCCCCCCCACCCCCCTTTTTTATTTCCAGAAAGGAGTTAGTTGGCCGAATCCTCCGTTGCCTTTTTCCTGAGTCTGCCTTTCTTGCCGACTGGACCGCCACTGCGGCTCCCTCACTTGTGTCGACAGGCGCCCTGTGTGCCCTTTACAAAATAGGTGCCCCCAGCCCTGGCCGGGTGGCGCAGTAGGCGGAAGCGTTGGCCCTTGCATCAGAAAGGTTTCGGGTTCGATTCCCGGTCAGGGCACATACCCGGGTTTAGGGTTTGGTCCTTAGGCCAGTGAGTTCTGGAGGCGGCCCATGGTGTTTCTCACATTGGTGTTTTTCTCTCTCCTTACCCCTCCCTCCCACTCTGCCTGAAAATTAATGGAAAAATATCCTCTGGTGAGGATTTAGAAGAAAAAGAAAAGAAACAATCCCTGGGAGTCAGTCTAGGCATGTTTTGCATTGTTTTGTTTTAATCTGTGCCCATGATTCAAATGCATACTTAATAGGTTTGAAAAAACAACTCCCCTTTTTCCAAGCCAAATTTAAGGCAGTTCCTTGGGAGGGCCACATGATTTCATCCTTTCCATATGCTATTTCTTCAACTTCGAACACCCTTCTCTTTTAAAAAAATTTTTTTTTCCTTTATTGATTTTAGAGAGAGAGGAAGTGAGAGGGAGAGAGAGATAGAAACATCGATGAGAGAGAATATCAATTGGCTGCCGGCTGGGGATCAGGCCCACAACCTGGGCATGTGTCCTGGTGGGGAATCGAACCAGTGACCTCTTGGTGCATGAGTCAGCATTCAACCACTGAGCCACACCACCCTTCTCTTTATATACTTATTTAACTGTTAACTTGTTCAAGACCCTTCAAGCTCAAACATAATCTTCCTTGAATTCCCATTTCTTCACCAAGTAAAATTAATTGCTTTTTTAGCATTTTGTTCATATAGAAGAAGCCCTCTCATAGATGCAGTCTGGACCCATAGCCAAGCAGTACATGGGAAAAAAAATGGATTTTAAACATTGAAATGTACACTAGAATTTATAACGATAAACTTGCTGGTATATAAATTATATCTAAATAAATCTGTTTAAAAGAAAAGTCAGTTAAACCAGAGTCATGAAAAAGTATAACATAAATACCTTAAATATTTTGTTTTAGTCAAAAACAGCTGTTTGCTTGTCACTAGATTGAGAAAGTCCAAGGCCTTTTCTTTGCACATGGCCTGCTGATTAAAGTTCTGCCTTGTATCTCTTGCATAAGCCATACCTCTAAACCACCCCCAAATTTTCTTCCTTTAAGAGGAAAATAACTTACAGACACTTGTGAAGCTGAATATAGATCTTTTAAAAATCTTTAAGTTATCTAATATTCAAACAACTCACCTTTATTGGGTCTTTCCAAAATATTAAACATAGATTTTTAAAGAAATAACAAACTTTATTTCCACACTATTTCATTGGTTTATATAACATTTAGTTAAATTGTGAAAGCACAGTAACAAGTACAACTGACATAAACAGGTTCAGAAACAAACACCAGTAATTTGTCAGTGTACAGATCAGCTAGTAGGAGCAGAAATGGGCAGACTCACTAGAAAGAAGCTTCCTAATCATTCAGCATGATAGGGAAATTAATTGGTTAGAGATGAAATGTTATTAGACTTAGAATCTACTGTACCTCCTAGATTTTAAACATTTGACTCTGTACCTATCTCCTGCATAGAAATTTAGAACATTCTGATGGCAGAGATAGTGCTTAGCTGCTAAGGGGAACTTTTAGGGAAATTCCCAGACATTCTCATATTACCATGTAAATCTTCTCGTGAAAACAAGTGGAAGTTAAAAAGTCTAAACAGCTGTTTTTAAGTCATTTACATTAAGGTTTATGGGTACTTCCAGAAAAGGGCATATAACATGCAAATTTTTTTGTTACAAACTCTGTTACTTTCCTCAGGTTGCCATAACAAATTACCAGAAATTGGATAGCTCAAAATGACAAAAATGTATTCTCTCATAGTTATGGAGGCAGAAGTCTCAAATCAAGTTGCCAGGACTATGCTCCCTTCAAAGGTTTCTGTGCCTCTTCCAGCTTCTGGTGACTCCATGACTTGGCTCTATGGCTTCATCCTTACATGGTCTACTTTCCTGTGTGTCTGAGTCTCAAATCTCCGTCTTTCTCTAATAAGAAGACCCGTGTGGAAATAAAGGCCATATGAGAACAAAAGCTACTAATTCAGAGCTTGCTAGAGCAAAGGAGTCAGCCACCACTGCTTATGCTTTGGCAGAGACTCAAAGGCAGGCAGAGGAGTGGGAAAGCTCTGGTGGAAAGGGGGAGATCTTCAGGTGTGCCCCGATTGGAGGCTGTAGGTGGGCCCACTAGAAGCAGGACGTCCTATGTGATTGACTAAGGGTGCATATTTGTTTTTCCCTGGTTGGTCCCGAGGTAGAAGTAAGGACAAAAATTAAGGGAGTTGTCAGTTATTAATCAAGCATTGGTCATTTTGGGCCAACTGTTAACAGGAGTTATTATTGTTTGGTTTTCTCAATTGTTATTCGAGTTAGAGTTCTGACTTCCTATGAATCTAATTTACAGATTAACAGCCTGGCTTCTTGGTTACTCAGTGTAGAAAAATAGGTGGGTGGTGGTGGTTTCCTGGGTCAGAGTTCTATTTTTATATATGGTCTGGTCACTGCATATTCAGTCTCTCAACTGTCATTGAATTTGGGGTCCACTCTAAATTCAGGATAATCTTATCTTGAGATCCTTAATTTACTCTGCAAATACTCTTTTCCAAATAAGATAACATTCACAGTTTCTGGGAGTTTGGACATGGACATATTTTGGGGGGCAACCTTGACCCCATTACAAACGACTCTTGTTTTTGAAATCATATTTACTTAGTTAAAAATGACCTTTCCCCTACTGTCCTGAATGAGACAAGCAGGTAGGTTAAGAGAACATTTCGCCAAAATCCTATAATTTTCCAAATAGTTGCCTGGATATCTTTTTTTTTTTTTTAATCCTCATCCGAGGACATTTTTCCATTTTTTGTACAGACAGAGTGGGAGGGAGAGAGAGGAAGAGAGAGAGAGGGAAACATCGATGTGAAAGGGACACATCGAGTGGCTGCCACCCGCATGACCAACCAGGGCCGGGGACAAACTGCAATCGAGGTACATGCCCTTAGCGGGAACCGAACCCGGACCTCTCCGGACCGCAGGTGGACGCTCTAACCGCTGAGCCAAACTGGCCAGGGCTGCCTGGATATCTTTTAAGGCTTGGATTCAATCTGCACACCAGTCCTTATATGTCTGCATCCCAAAAGAAGATGTTTTGGTAGTCCAGTATTATCTGTACATTCAGAGAAATCCCACCTTTGATAAAAAGTTATAAGCAACATGGGTAATGTATAAATATTGTCTGTGATAGGAAATTAAGGAATATTACAAATCCTTTGGTTTCTTTCTGTTTACAGCACTCTGAAATTTTAATCTCATTTCCTAGCCAACGAAGAGAATAATCCCATTTCAGCAGATTCTAAGACATTGATATATACCAGGTATGCAATTTTAAAAAAATGATTTAGTTAATCACTTCCCTTTGGATGACTCTGATGATGTTATAACTTCTTGAAAACATGTGGTTGAAAAGACTTAGTCTTTTTTTCTTGAAGTATATATTATTGATTATTACTCACTTGTGTGGTATGTCACATTTTCCCCATTTTGCCTCTGATTTATTTGTTGAAATTGAGCCATGCCGATCTTATTTTATCATGCTTATTATAAATATGGACCACACTAATAAATTCCCTTGATACCAGGAAAAACTTTTATGTCATCTTTCCCCAAGTTTTCTTAGCTTACCTAGTCAAACAGCTTTAATATTAAACTCTCCTTCCCACTTAGGAAACAAAACAAAAACAATTTTATACTTATGTGAAAATTATCTACATAATTTTTCTTTCCTGTTTTTTAATAAAATATCTACTCTGAAGTGGGTGGAATGAAATTATGACCTTAACTACTTAAACTACCTGATAGGTTCACACACCAGCTTTTCCCATTCAAAATGGAAAATGGTGCTTATGTGACATGGGTGCACACATGCAGTTGCCTCCTCTTAATTCTTCTAAGCCAAAGCTCTCTAAAGCTTCAGTGGAGTTTGACAGACTTGCTCATTAACTTGGAGGGAGGTAGCAGATGATGAGTTTCCAAAAGCTGGAGCAATGACCTTTTTAAAAGCTCCTCCCAAGGACCAAGTACAGGGGCTTGTCCATGAATTCAAAAAGAGATCATGTACAAATCATGCTTATCATAGTGCTTTGTTACATTTTAAGTACCTAGTAAATGCTAATTTGGGTCCTAATTGCTTCAAATTCCATCCTTCCTGCTTTTTGATATGTGACCTTTGGCATATTGCCTAATGTCTCCAAGTTGTGGTTTTCTCATCTACAAAATATAGGTAAAAATAAAATCTTGCTTGTGGGATTGCTCTGAGGGGGTGAAAAAGATAATCCATGTAAAAGCACTTAACAGAGTGCTGGTTACTTAGTAAGCAATAAATATTGATTATTGTTAATATAGAAGAATGGTTGTTTATTATAGTATTTCCATTGCATTGTTTTCTGTAAAGCTTTTTTAGTTGAAAGTGTGTGTGATTTTAATTTTGTTTTATATTTAATGTTTGGCTGTTTACTATCAAATACTTTAAGTATTGTGGGTTTGTTTGTTTGTTTTACAATCAGTTACTTAATTCATCTTTATATTCCCTATGATTCCTGGCATATAATATGCATCCACATATGTGGTTTGAATAAAAGAGTAATTATACCATCTAGTTAGTCTCTAAGCTCTTGTTTTAATTTATTTATACAGTTATAATGAATTATCAATAGATGGCAGTAGTTTATCTTCATTTTTATATGTTTGTCTATTCTGCAACAGAAATCCAGAAAAAAACTAAAATTTTCCCAATTTTAAAGCAGACAATTATTCATAAATAGTTGGTTTAAATAAATATCAGCCAAAGAGTTCTTCAGTTTATGTTTCCTTAGAAATATAGATCAAGAAGTACCAGTTACTTTATTTTTTATTGTATGAATCTAATTTTTTAGGTTTGTTTATCAGATACTTTATAGAACCCCAAAATGAGTAAGACTTTGTATTTGCCTTTCTGGAGCTTACAGTCCAATGGAGAAAAACAGTATAAAATAATAGAAAGAATAAGAAATAAAAATATGTTGAGCAGTAGCAATTTTCTAAATGCTTTACATGTATTATTTCATTTAGTCTTCATAATAATTGTATCAAGGCAAGTACTCCTGTTGTTCCTATATACAGATAAGGGATCAGAGGCCAGGGTTATATTTTACCTAATAAACTAGTAAGTGGCACAACCTGTATTCAAATCTAGCTCTATCTTACCCTGGGAACTGTACTGTTAAAAATCACGATATAATAAATATATAGAAACAATTGTATGAGAGAGAGAGAAATCACATCTACCCAGCAAGATCAAGAAAGACTTCTTAAAAAAAATACCATCCAAGAGAGAGTTAAAGGATTGCTTGCAAAGTTGACACGATCAGAACAGGGTTTTAGGGGTATTATCAGTAGAACTGAACTGGAGTGGTGATAGAGTACAATTAGATACTTACTATGTTCCAGGCTCTAGTCTGGGTCTCTGTGCTCATGGAGCTTATATTAGTAAAAGAAAGTAGAAAAGAAATAAATGTATACAATGTCAGTGGTGATAAATGCTATTAAGAAAAAACAAGCCCAGCTAGTGTGGCTTATTTGGTTGAGTGTTGTCCCATGCACCAACAGGTCATCAGTTTGATTCCCAGTCAGGGCACACACCAGGGTTGCAGATTAGATCCCCAGTAGGGGGCATGCAGGAGGTAGCCTATCCATGTTTCTCTCTCATTCATGTTTCAGTCTCTCCTTCTCCCTTCCTCTCTCTCTTTGAAATCAACAAAAACATTTTTTTTTTTTAATGAGGGGGAAAAATTAAGAGGCAGAGTAAGGAAATGGAGGATGAAGGAGGGAAGGTCATGTTTTAGAGAGGGTTATCAAGGAAAGCTTCTCTACTAAGATAGTGTTTGGAAGTGGGAAGGAGTGGTTGGATTCCAATATAATTTAAAGGTGGAACTAATGAGTTAAAAAAAAAATTACATGCAGCTTGTAAGAGAAAGAAAAGAGTCAAGATTCTGGCTCATACTTTGGGTAAAACAATTTGGGCAATATTTGTGGGCCACATACTTGGGGAGGATTTCCCAAAAGGCCTATGAAACATCAACAATGAGCCCTTGTTTATGATTATCTTAAGTAAGCCTGGTTTAGTTGCCCTGGTCTCTGTGTCCTTCTAGAGACCTCCCTGGTAATGCCTCTAGGGTTTTGGGCCTGAACAAGAAAAATGAACTTATAATTTACTGCAATGGAGAAGACTGTGAAGAAGCAGGTTTTGTGGTGGTAATGGATAGAGCCAGTGGACAGAGCCATCAGGAATTCAGTTTGGAACATATTAAGTTAAAATGCCCATGAGAAATCCAGGAGGAGATATCAGTAGGCAATTTGGTATCTAGAACTTAAGAGTGATGTTCAGGTTAGAGATGTAAATTTGGGAGTTGTGAGCCTACAGATGGATTTTAAAGCCATGGAACTGGATAGCATCACCTGCAGAGTGAGTACATGGAAAAGAAGAAGCCTAAGAACTGAGCACTCAGACACTCTGAGAAAGATGAGAAACCAGCAAAGGGAAGCAAAAGTATGGTGCCTCAAGAAGGAGAGCATGATCAGTTGTGTCGCATGATGCAGATAGGTCAAGAAAGATAAGGACTGAACTTGTCCACTAAATGTGGCAACATGGAAGTCATAGGTACTTTGATAAGAACTTTTTTAAAAACTGGGGGTGAGGAGAACTCCAAAAATCTCTCATGAGGAAATCTGGCTATCTATTTTGGAATTCTATATATTTAGGGTTTGGATCACATTTTCATCTGACAGTTTTGAAAAGAGAATTATTCTAAAAAGCATAGTTGTCACCATTAAAAATGAAAGCATAAGACTGAATGACATTAGCGGAGATGGTATGTCTTTCCATTGGTGTAGACATACTTTGGGCGAGAAATAATTTCTCAGAAGTTTATGTTTGATTTTAGCTAATGAGGGGGGAGAAGTGAAACCTGTCAGGAATATCAGTCAACCGATTTGTGATAGTTATGCACCCTATGACCCATTTTCATTATGTATAATACATACTTGGTGTATTTGGAAGCAAGTAATCTTCAGGGTAGGTGCAAATTATAATCATGAAGGGAAGTCAGAGGTCAGCCAAATGTCCAGCCTGAGGAGTCCGTAGTGATGGCCAAGAGGTGAAACAAGGAATAAAGTGCTAAAAAAAATTAGGAAGTAAATCCAGGAAAAGGGTTTGCAAATTCACACTTTTTTTATTTTTTTAATTCCTCACCCAAGGATATTTTTCTATTTTATCATCGGGAAGAGTGAGAGGGAGGGAGAGAAAGAGAGAAACATTGATGTGATAGAGCCACACCTATTGGTTGTCTCCCTCACTACCCGACCAGGGCCAGGGACGAACTGCACCCAAGGTCTACACTCTTTTTAATGGCCATGGGGTGAGTTTTTATTGGACTTGGGAATGGAGACAAACTTGAGAGTTTGACTGACAGAGACTGCACAGTAACTTGATTAACTTATCTATTCTAATCTCTCCTTATATCTGTGTGGCTTTAGGTATTATCTCATGAGTAAGTGAGAATAGTAAAACACTTTATTATTTAAATTGGAAGATAAATTGAAAATATAAAGAAAGTGCTTTCCAGATGAGATCTGTATATATTCATGGTTTTCTAAATTACTACACCTTCACCCCGCCAGTGTGGCTCAGTGGTTGAGCATCGACCCATGCACCAAGAGGTCACCAGTTTGATTCCTGGTCAGTGCACATGCTCAGGATGTGGGCCTAATCCCCAGGGGTGGCATGCAGGAGGCAGCCAATTGATGTTCTCTCTCATTGATGTTTCTATCTTTCTATCTCCTTTCCTCTCTCTCTAAAAATCAATAAAGGAAAGATATTAAAATAAATAAACTACCACACCTTCTTGATTCCTTGAACATATTTGTTTACTTAGAATATTATGCAGCATGATTCTAGAGAGGTGAGTTATAGACAGTGAACCATACAGTAGTTGACCATCTAAAATAAAACTGAGTTTATGCCTGGCCAGTGTGGCTCAGTGGATTGAGCATCCTCCCATGGACTGAGAGGTCCCTGTTTGATTCCTGGTCAGGGCACATGCCACATGCCTGGGGTTGCAGGCTCAATCCCCAGTAGGGGGAATGCAGGAGGCAGCCGATGTTTTCTCTCTCACATTAATGTTCCTATCTCTCCCTTCCTCTCTCTCTCTAAAAAAAAAAAAAAAAAAAAAAATCAATGAAAACATTTTAAAAATAAAGTAAAATAAAACTGATTTTAGATATTTTTTTATTTTTCCCCATCAGCTTGCATTTTATTGCTACTTGAGAGTTTATAGTACTGTGGTTAGGCCCTTTCAAGTAGGCCTTCAAATGATTCTTACTGAAAGAATGAAAACTGTGTTTCACTTTTTGTTGTATTAGTGGAGTTACAATTTTTAGAAGAATAAAATAATCTGTTTTTTAATGGTATAGGACAGTGGTTAAGAGTATATATTTTGGATATAGTCATATTTTGCTTTTTCTGCCACCTACCAAGTCCCTGCCCTTTACAGAGTTATATGTACCAGCAGGGGAAAATCCCACACACTTAGCTTACATTCATCTGCTATTTTCCTGAAACAAGGGTTACTATGGTCTGTGTTCTATTCTTGAAGAACCCAGAAAAGATACTGTGAAGGCCCTGTTGATAACAGGACAGACACATAGGATAAAGAAGTTCTGTCTTATATCTCTCTGCAATCTCTTCCAAGTGAACTTGTCTTAGGCTGTAATGCCTCAAATATGTGCATGCTGGCATCTTGAGTCTGGTTGGCAGATACAGGCATATGGCTCTCCATAGAAAAGAGCAGCAATGGGGTTGTGGTTGTTACTAGGGCCATTCATTGGTAGTCTGATTCCATTCCACTTTGAGTATATAGTGGAAATCACATCCTTATTATCTAAACTTGGGTATGACCACGAATTGGCTTTAGCCAATGGAATGTAAATAGGGGGTATATGTGCCATTTCTGGACAGAAGACTTTGGGAGCATGACTTTCCATGTTTCCTTTCCTCTAGCATGTTGATTGTGGAAGTTTATATTAAAATGGAGCCTCCAACAGCCCGAGTTCCCTTAGATGGGAAGAACATCCCTGCCAACCTAATACTGGCATATAATATCATAAGAAATAAGCCTTCATTATTTTAAGCCAGTGAGATTTTGAGGTTATTTGCAGCATAACTTTGCCTATATTTTTATATTTGTTTTTAATTATAGTTGACATACAATATTATATTACTTTCAGGTGTGAACATAGAACGTTAAAGGTAAAGTGGTGAATGATTAATTATAGTGGGTTCAAGAAGAATGCGAGGAAAGGAAGTGGACAGCAAGCATCTTGGCTATAAAGAAGAACAAAGAAATAGCTGAAGGGCATTATAGGGTAAAGCAAGGGTGGTTATTACTGTTGTTGACTTTATGGTGGGCTGTTCAGGAATACCTTTGACTACGAAGGAAATTCTGTTGATGGAACATTTGAAGTAGTAATGTGCTTGAGTAGAAGAGAAAGGAGTACAAAAGTGAAGGACTGGCCTTAGATAGGGGCTAGGACGCTTTGTTCACTGCAAGTAAAGGCTAGGCTAGATCTGGGTGCAAGGTGCAGGAAGACCGGTAGATGGGGTGATTTTCTGATTCTTCTCTCTCAGTTAAATAAGTAGCTGGATTATCAACTAAAAGAAGAGGGAAGATATGGGAGGTTTCAAGACAGAGGAGAAGGAGTGAAATAAGTATCTGTGAAACTGGGTGAATCCTAATGGCCTAGCATCAATGGTCCCCTTGACACGAATAGTTTTGAAGTGAAAAGGAAACCACAGAATAGGTGTTTTTCTTTAGGTATTTCAGCTATGAGTGTAAGCAAAGCAACTGGTTGGGGTTTTTCCAGGGAAATAGGACAGTGAGAGCCCTGTAAGAGGAGCGAGGAGGAATGCTGAGGGATCTAAGCCAGGTGAGGAGAGAAGTGAAGACGTGACGAGCCGAGGGAGTGGGAAAATGTGGAAGAGTCAATGTGGTTGAACAGCTCTGATAGTAAAACACTAGGAGGGATGCGCTGAAAATGGACAGTAAGAGCTGGAATCTGAGATTATGAGTGAGGTGTAATTATAATCTGTTGATGGTTGGGGAGGATGGATGAGAGTTGACATCGAAGAACTAAGAGGTCAAGGTATTAGAAATACCATTGTATGGATGTTGAAATCCCAAAGAAATATAAGAGGAGTAGTAACTAGATATATAGTAAATTAGATGCTATAATCTAGGAGTAAGGAGCAGAGATCTGGAAGTCGACTGATAACAACAAGGAAGGGTAAAATTTACCTAATAGCCTGATGGCATTAACTTCAAAGAAACTAAGTGGTTTTAGGGAGAGTAGAGGATAATAGTTTGGCAGTAGTAATGGAGAACAGGAAAAATGCCTCACCTCCAGACTTAATGGCTTGAGGATGAGACAGCAGTATCTTTGAGGATTTCAGTTCTAACTGAAAAAAAAAAAAAGTGAAGGGAAAGTTCACTGAAGGGGTTGACTATGGAGCTGGCTGAAAGTTCCTGGGGTCACAATGGAATGATATAAAAGAATTGGGGAGTGGGTAACATAAAATTAGGGGGCTTGCTAAGCCTAATAAAGATGAGTCTTCATGATTAGGGATGACCTGGGGGCCTTAGCTTCTAGTGAGTGGTGTTAACAGGGATGTAAGCTATAGTGGAAATAATGCCCACAGTGTCTTAGGCAGATTGTGAAGATGACAGTATGATTTTGGGGAGAAACAGGGTACCCACCTAACTCTACCAACTCAGCTGTGTTGGTAGAGGGAGGAACTCTTTCCATCGTTCAAAGGAGAAAAATATCTACCCCTTTATCTTATCAGATACTCCTAGATATAGAAGAGATTAAAATACGATTTTAAAGCTGCATAGGGCTTACTCTGGCCAGGATAGCACTGGACAGGAGTGCTGTATTTCCTACATCCTATCCCCATGGCAGAAATTGCTAATCCAACTTGGCACCGTTTCTCCTTGACTTTGGCTATAGCTTTAGACTCCATTTCATCACAGTACTGCAGGTACCAGCTCCTAATCCATAGTAATTAATTAATTACCGAGTATGTCAGTTACTGCACTGACCATGTTATATAGATATTACTTCAGTTATTTACAACTGCTCTGTGAGGTTTTACAGGTGACCAGAAAAGTCAAGAAACTTGCTCAAGATCACAACAGCTGAAAAGCAGAAGAACCAATATTCAAATTCAGCTCTACTTCCTTCCAAAAATCCCTCACTTAACTATTGTAATTTAATTCTTGGAACTAATGATGAAATGTCATTGCTATTCCTATGAGGTATTTGGCAATTCATTTACATTCGGGATCACCAGAATATATGAAAAGAAAAACAAAACAAAACAAAACAAAGTGACAGATTATCAACATTGATATTTTGTAGGAGTAAAGAGGGTGAACCAAAAAGGGGGAAAGAAGAATGTCAGGCAACCAAGAAAGGAAGAGTGAAGGAGTTCTTGCAGACGGTAATGAAGAAATCTTAAATAATTAAAGGATAAGCAGCAACAAAAAAAATACACGATAGGATAATTGTGTTAAAATTTATAGAAAATTGAAGTATTGGGAAGCTATTAAATTTCTCCAGGAAGAAACGTATCCGGTGTTTAGAAAAGACATAACAACCTGAAAATGCAAGCCTGTAATGAAAATTCATCGACTATAATTGCTATATTGTTGCTTTGGCAGCAGTATAATTATAGTATGTGTGTTGGTGGCCTGGATAAAAACAATTGGGACAATCAAAATATTTATACTGTTCTGTAGAGAAACAGGTATAACATTGCAGTCGGCTCTTTTGAATTGTCTATTATTATAGCCTTTGATTTTTGGTTCTGTTTATAAGTCAGAAAGGGAAGATTGCCAACCCTACATTTATTTATGAAAAAAAATTTGATTTTTTATGATTTGGAGTAAAGAAACATGACTTGTTCGCATTCCCATTCTTATTGTGTGCATCATTCCTCTGTCTAGCTCTAGCTGAACGAGACACATCTTCGCTAACCGATGCTGTGGAACAAGTGGCAAAGCAGCAACAGTCACAAACATCAGAAAGAGAAAGAAACCAAAGAGTTCTGCTTCATTTGCAGGTAACCTGTTACTTGTTGTCTTCTAAATGAGTCTTTTTCTTCAAAACTGTATTACATGAGTAACAGGGAAGTTATTGAGGATATTTAATTTGGGGAGTCAATTTTAAACCCATATTTTTTATATTTACCTCTTTCTTAATTATTCTGTTATCCCTAAGTGAACTCTGAATAATCCAGTTTTGTGGAACATTGTATACACCCAGTATACACATGTTCAACAATGTCGTTGTATCTGTAGTATGAACATATAAATCCCAGTGTGTCACATAGAATTATTTTAAATTCACTTCTAGTTGATAGTTTTTCCTAAAATGCTGAATTTAAGGAAGGTTCAGTTTTAAGCCAGTGTTTTGAAAGCTATGACTTGTGAGTTACTGGTTGTCAGTGAACATTTCAAGAAAATAAGGAACATTTCTGTGGTTCTTATATTTTATATTTATAATTCTACAGGGAATCTGAAAGCCATGTTTGATATTTGCATAAAGCATAATTAGATAACTATACTCTGTTATTATAGCTAAGAAAGCAAAATGGAAACAGTACCTTTACTATGTGCTTTGTAAAGGTTTTTTCTACTTAATATATCATAGAAATGAAAAGAAGAGGTTTTAGGTTTGGCTCAGGGGTTAGAGTGTCAGTCTGCGAACCAAAGAGTTTTCAGTGTGATTGCAGCCAAGGCCATGTACCTCAGTTGTGGTCCCCAGCCCTGGTCGGGTCATGCGGAAGGCAACCAGTAATGTGTCTCTCTCATGTTGATGTTTCTCTCTCTCCAATGCCCCCCCCCCCCATCTGAAGATAAATGGAAAAATATCCTCAGGTGAGGACTGGAAAAAAAAAGAGAGAGATTTTAGAACTGAACTCCCTAGTTTGAAAGACAAGACTTGCTACTTTTAGCTCTGTCCTTCTGTTTTTTGTTTTTTTTTTTTCATTTTAAAATGAAAAAAAACCTGCCTATAAGGTTTTCATGATGATAAAATGAATTGATACTTGTAAATATTATGTAAGATATCCTTGCTGGGGACCTGGTGGACACTATAGAACCAGACTTTTTAAAAAATATATTTTTATTGATTTTTTTAGAGAGAGAGGAAGGGAGAGAGAGGGAGAAACATCAGCACGAGAGAGAAACAGTGATTGGCTGCTTCCTGCACACACACTGGGAACTGAGCCCACAACCTGGGCATGTGCCCTGACTGGGAATCGAATTGGGACCTCTCAGTCCATGGTACCACTTCAACCCACTGACCCACACTGGTCAGGCTAGGACCAGATTTTGATACTGGCTTTAGGTAGTATCAGTACATCAGAAGAAATATGATGATGACTATACTATCATGGTAATATGTATTATAAATATTTGCGTTTCATTCATCACTGTTAGAAAAGAATACATGATTACAATAGAATATAATACAAAAATAATAATGTCTTCAATTTTTATAAAGAAATTTCTGTAACACTTTTCAGTCTTCAGAGTTTCACAGATGTTATCTCATTTGTATTGAGGGCCTACTTTCTATTAAGCATTTTTCTATACATAGTCCACTTTTTAAGTTGCTCGTTATCTTTTGAAGAGGGAGACAAAGAAGTAACCAAATAATTACATGCAGGGAGGGCATCAGTGTCAACAGTAGAGGCATGAATACAGAATTAACACTGAAGGAGTGATCATGATCACAAAGACAGTTATGTCCAGTTGAGTTTTTTGTTTTCTTTTTTTTTATCCTCACTCAAGGTCCTTTAAGTTAAAGGACATTTATCTTCAGATAGAGCAAGAAGGAGAGAGGGAGGAAGAGAGAGAGAGAAACATCGATGTGAGAGAGAGACATTGAGTGGTTGCCACCCACACGACCCCACCAGGGCTGGGGACAAACTGCAACCGAGGTACGTGCCTTTAGCAGGAACAGAATCCAGGCCTCTCTGGTCCATCGGCCGACACTCTAACCACTGAACCAAATCAGCCAGGGTGGTTCAGTTGAGTTTTAAAGGACAGGTAGAGTTCACTTGAATGATTGGGTGTGTGGGACAGGTTTAAAGGTTAGAGGGTGAGGAGGACAGTATTCCAGACAAAAGAACCTGAGAAAATCCACAGAGACCTGAAATAACATTGGTACATTCACAGAACTGTAAGTAGTTCAGTGGTGGTATAGCAGAGTGTGTTTTGAGAAGTTGTGAGTGATGTATACCAAGGTATGAAACTTGGGCTTTACTTCAGGGGTGATGGGAAGGTTTTGATGGGCTTTAAGCAAGGGAACAAGTGATTAAATTGGTGTTTTAGAAGGAATATTCTAGATGTGTAAAAAACACTTGTCATAACACAACAGCTATTCATAATAAAAACTCTCAGCAAATCAGGAATAGATGAGAAGTTCCTCAATCTAACAAGGGCATCTGCATAAATCCTACAGCCAACCTAATGGTGAAAACTGAATGTTTTTCTCCTAAAATCAGCGTCAAGGCAAGGATATGCGCCCTTACCAACTCCTCTTCATCCTTTGGGACTGGTGATTCAAGCCACTGCAGTCATGCAGAAAGAGGAAGTAAAATGTATCCTGATTGGAAAGGAAGAAGGAAACTTTTTATTCACAAGCATGATTATCTTTATTTTTTTAATTATTTATTTATTTTTTATCCTCACCCGAGGATATTTTTCCATTTTTTGTACAGATAGAGTGGGAGGGAGAGAGAGGAAGGGAGAGAGAGAGAGAAACATCGACGTGAAGGGACACATCGAGTGGCTGCCACCCGCACGACCAACCAGGGCCGGGGACAAACTGCAACCAAAGTACGTGCCCTTAGCGGGAACCGAACCTGGGTCTCTCCGGACTGCAGGCTGATGCTCTAACCGCTGAGCCAAACTGGCCAGGGCCAAGCATGATTATCTTTAGAAAATCCTAAGGAATCTACTTTTTAAAAAACTGTTAGGACTAATAACTGAGTTTAGAAAATGTATAAGATATAAGATTAATTATGAAAGTCAGTGGTATTTCTAGATATTGAAAGAAACAATCAGAGGTTAAAATTTTAAAAGCAATATAATTTACAGTAGCATCAACACTATGAAATACTTAGGGGTATATTTGATAAAAGGTTTATGTTATAAACCTAAAGTTTATGCTCCCCTTCCCCATTCATATGTTGAAACCCTAACCTCCAATGTGATTAATTTGGAGCCTTTGGGAGATAATTAGTCTTAGATAAGATCATAAAGGTGTGGGGCTCTACTGATAGGGTCAGTGCCCTCAGAAGGAGAAACACCAGAGTGCTCTCCCCTCTGCCATGTGAGGACCCACGGAGAAGGCAGCCAGGAAGAGTTGTCACTAGTATTGGACCATGCCGACGCCTTTCCAGCCTCCAGAACTGTGAGAAAAAATTTCTGTTATGTCAGCCACTAAGTCTACTGTATTTTGTTATGGCAGCCCAAGCAGACTAAGACAATTTGTAAGAACTGTATACTGAAAACTGCAAAACATCACTGAGAGAAATTAAAGACTAAAATAAATACAGAGATGTGCCATTTTCACAAATCAGAAAATTCAGTATCGTTAACATGTCAGTTCTTTTCATTTTATCTATAGTTGAAAATAAATTTTGATCAAAATCCCAGGCAGATTTTTTTTTTGGAGAAATTGGTAGGCTATTTCTAAAAGTCATCGGGAAATCCAAAGGACCAAGAATTGCCAAAATAGCTTTGAAGAAGAAGAATGTTGGATGTTGTTATGTTACCTGATTTTAAAATTCATTATAGAGTATAGTAGTCAAGGCAGTGTGATATGGCATAAAGATAGACGTACAGAACTCTGGAGCAGAACAGAGTATCCAGAAATAGCCTCACATATGTCACTTGAATTCAAAGAGGTGCTATTTGTATTCCCCTCAAGGTATGTGGAAGTAGAGCATTTGGCAGATAATTAGGTTTAGATGGGTGAGACCCTATGATGGGATTATAAAAGAGAGAGACCCCAGAGCTATCTTCCACTCTCTCCCCCTTATGAGGACATTGCTAGAAGATAGTTGTCTGCAAGCCAGGAGCAGGCTGTCACCAGGAACTCAATCTGCTGCACCTTGATCTTGGACTTTCTAGCCTCCGGACCTGCGGTAATAAATGTCTGTTGTTTAAGCCACCTCTCTAAGGTATTTTGTATGTCAATCTGAGCTGACTAAGACAGATGCCAAGGCAGTTCACTAGAGAAACAAATAATAAAGGACAACCACATGCAATAAAAGTGAAGTGGTGTGGCTCAGTGGTTCGAGCACTGGCCTAAACACCAAAGGATTGCAGGTTCGATCCCTGGTCCTGGTTAGGGCACGTGTTGGAGGCAACCAATCGATGTCTCTCTCTCACATCAATGTTTCTCTCTCTCTCTCTCTCTCTCTCTCTCTCTCTCTCTCTCTCTCTCTCTTTCTCCTTCCTTCCCTTCCTTCCACTTTCTGTAAAAGAAAGTCAAGGGAAGAAATATCTCAGGTAAGGATTAACAACAAAAAGGAATCTCAATTTTCACTTCATACCACATACAAAAATTAACTCAAAATGAATCATGAGCCTATTCTTACATTAACTCCACAGTATCTAGGAGAAAACAGGAAAAAAGCCTAATGATGTTGGATTTGGCTAAGATATTTTAAGTAGGATAGAAATTTTAAAACAATGTATTGCTTCTCTGCCCTTTGTCTAAGATCATCAAATATTTTAATCCATCAGATGATATGTTTTCATTGATTTTTAGAGAGAGGGGAAGGGGGGACAGAGAGAGAGAGAGAAACATCTATGTGAGAGAAATATCTATCATTTGCCTCCTGTACACACCCTGACCAGGGTCAAATCCACCACCTAGGTATGTTCCCTGACCAGGGAACCTGCAACCCTTTGGTGTATGGGATGATGCTCCAGTCAACTGAGCCACCTGGCCAGGGCTTTTATATATATATTATATATATATATATATATATATATATATAATATATATATTTTTAAAGTTTTTGTTTCAAAATGCTATAAT